CTTGTTTGAAATAGCATAATACTTATAATCTCAAAATAATCTCATTCCTGAACTTACATCGATTAACTTACGATGAAACTTTAACATATGAAAATGCGAGATGTAACATCTCATTTGTGAGCTTCCATCAATTTACTTATGGCGTACTTTCACATACGAAATCGTGGGGTATAACATCGAAGCTTTGACAAAGCGGGTGGAGTCTGGTGAGAAGAAATATAGGCCGACAACAAAAAGTTGGAAACTTATAATTCTAGGGTCGATCAGATCTCGGGAGCACCTCCAATATTGAAGGGGCCAGATTTCAAAAAATTCATTCAGAAGCCTTTCCCCTTGAGCGTGGCACCGAAGCTGATCCCGATGTGGTTCTGAATGCCCAACATGCCCAAGTATAATAGGACCATAGATCCAAACAAGTATGTAACCTCCAATACATGCACAATCAAGGGGAATGACTTGGAAGACGACAAGATCAAGTCGGCGTTGTTGAAGAAATTTGGGAAACCTTGTCCAAAGGAGCGATAATATGATATCACAACTTGCCTCCGAATTCTATTGATTCATTTGCTATGCTTGCGGATGCTTTTTAAAGGACCATGCCGGTGCCATCAAGGTCGGGATGAGGAAGTCGGACCTTTTTAAAGTCAAGCAAAGGGATAACGAGATGCTTGGGGAGTTCGTGTCGAGGTTCTAGATAGAGCAAATGGACCTGCCCCCGGTCGCGGATAATTGGGCCGTTCAGGCATTTACCCTAGGGCTTAATCCCCGAAGTTCTGTGGCTTCTCAATAATGGAAGAAAAACTTGGTGGAGTACCCGGCGGTCACTTGGGCCGACGTCCATAACAGGTATCAATCGAAGATCAGAGTTGAGGACGACCAATTGGGGGCTCTCTCGGGGTCTGTTTACCCCAATAGAGCGAATGATAGGTCTAAGAGAATCATCAACCAGAAGCCAAGGCTGGTCCAAGATCGACACTAGTCGTACGGCTCAGATCGGAGGGTAAACGAATCCGGGTGCCACCCGACTAGGAACGATAAGAGAAATCGAGGCCTAATAAGAAAAATGGTTTTAACAGGTCGTTGGTGAGTAGGGAAGAGCTGAGATTATCGGAGTACGATTTCAATGTGGATGCTGCAAGTATAGTGTCGGCCATAGGATGCATCAAAAAGACCAAGTGGCTAAGATCACTGTAGTCTGATCCATGTCAGAGGGATCACAACTTGGTGTGTAAGTACTACGTACTCAGTCATAGGACTGAAGATATTAGATAGCTAAGGAAAGAAGTAGCTCGATTATTCAACAATGGGCACCTTCAAGAATTTCCGAGCGAACGGGCCAAAAATCATTTCAGAAACAGGGACGCCAACAAATAGGTTGATCAAGAGGAGCCCCAGCACGTGATCAACATGATCATTAGGGGAGTGGATATCCCCCAAGGGACAATGATAAAACGCACCCAGGATTATGTCCCGGAAGGAGCCATCTCGTTCAGCAATGAAGACGTTGAGGGAATCATCCAGCCTCACAACGATGCACTAGCAATATCTGTACTTATCAAAATCTCGAGTTAAACATGTGTTGATTGATCCAGGTAGCTCGTCCAACATCATCCGATGGAGGGTCATAGAACAACTAGATTATTGGACCAAATTGTACCGGCAGTTCGGATGTTGAACGGATTTAACATGGCATGTGAGACAATGAAGGGTGAGATAAATTTACAGGTAAACACTATAGAGACCACCCAGGAAATAAAATTCTACATGATCGAGGGGGATATAAGGTACAACTCCTTGTTCGGAAGGCCATTGGTTCACAGCATGAGAGATGTGCCTTCAACCTTACATCAGGCGTTAAAAATTCCCACTCTGGAAGGAGTCAAAACAATCTACAGGGAATAGCCGGCCGCAATGGAGATGTTCGTTGTCGATGAAGTAATCCTGGTACCCGTAATTTCGACATCAAAAAGCAGGGAACTAGCCGAAGAAAAGGAAACCAAATAGCAATCAATGATCCCCACCTCAACCGGGCCGGAAAAATAAGAGGAGCATATAGCGGACGAAGAGGATGATTACGCGTCCCGAGATCTTTTGTAGCACTCGATTACATCGATGCCACTAAGTCAACAATTGAGGAATTGGAGCAGGTTATACAGATCAAGCACCTACCGGATCAAAAGGTATACTGGGCACGGGACTAACTCCAAGCTCAAGATAAAACTTATTGAGTTTTTAAAGCTCATGCCGATTATTTTGCTTGGTCCTAATCAGATATGATAGGGATCACACTGGAGGTAACAACTCATAAATTGAGTCTGGATCCAAAGTTCCATCCGGTCAAACAAAAGAGAAGGTTGCAGTCCAAGATCAAATACGCGTTCATCAAAGATGAGGTATCTAAACTTTTGAAAATAGGTTCCATACAAGAAGTTAAATACCCGGATTGGTTAGGTAACGTAGTAGTCGTGCCCAAGAAAGGAAACAAACTTAGAATGTGTGTAGATTATAAGGATCTAAGCAAGGCGTGTCCGAAGGATTCATTCCCTTTGCCTAACATCAATCGAATGATCGACACGACGGCCAGATACGAGATACTGAGTTTTCTAGACGTTTATTCTGGGTACAACCAAATTCAGATGGATTCGAACAATCAAGAAAAGACTTCTTTCATAACCAAATTTGGCACCTACTGTTATAACGTGATGTAATTTGGGCTAAAGAACGTCGCTGCCACGTACCAATGCCTAGTTAACTAGATGTTTTAAGAACAGATAGGAAAATCAATAGAGATTTATATTGATGATATGTTGGTTAAGTCCGTGCGAGCATAGGACCGTTTGAAACATTTGAAGGAAACCTTTGAAATATTGAGGAAGTACAACATGAAATTAAACCCGGAGAAGTGTGCCTTCGAGGTCAGCTCGGGCAAGTTCCTCGGGTTCATGGTATCTAACTGGGGAATAGAGATCAATCCAGACAAAATAAAAGCTACAAAAGATATCACCGTAGTTGACAACGTTAAGACAGTATAAAGAATGACCAGGTGGATAGCCGCGTTGGGCCGGTTTATTTCGAGGTCGTTAGATAAGAGCCACCGGTTTTTCTCATTATTTAAAAAGAAGAACAACTTCTCTTGGACCCCGGAGTGCCAGCAAGCTTTAGAAGAACTCAAGCGATACCTATCGAGCCCTCCCAGCTTGTTGCACACTCCGAAGGCGGGTGAATAGCTATGCCTCTACTTGGAGGTTTCTGAGGTAGCGGTAAGTGGTGTCCTAGTCTGGGAAGAAGAAGGTACGCAATTTCCTATTTATTATATTAGTAAAACCCTAGGCAATGCCGAAACAAGATATCCACACTTAGAAAAATTAGCGCTCGCCTTATTAAGCGCTTCTAGGAAAGTAAAACCGTACTTGCAATGTCGCCCCATATGTTTCGTGATCTCGTACCCACTGAAGAATGTTATGCACAAACCCGAGCTCTCAGGTCGGTTGACCAAATGGGTCATAGAAAAAATAGCGGGTATGATATCGAGTACAAACCCCAGACCGCCATAAAATCTCAAATTTTGGCAGAGTTCGTGGTCGACTTTACGCCGGCCTTGATCCCCGAGGTTGAGAAGGAATTACTGCTCACTTCGGGGACTAGCTCGGGGGTCTGGACCTTATTCACGAGCGGTGCTTCCAACGCGAAGGGTTCCGGGCTGGGTATTGTATTATAACCACCTGCAGATAACGTAATAAGGCAGTCTATTAGAACTGTAAAATTGACTAATAACGAAGCCGAATATGAGGCTATGATTGCAGGTCTGGAACTGGCTAAGAGCCTGGGGGCCGAAGTGATTAAGTCCAAATGTGACTCCCTCCTTGTCGTCAACCAAGTCAACAGGACGTTTGAACTAAAAGAGGAACGCACGCGGAGATACTTGGATAAGTTGCAGGTGACATTACACCAATTCAAGGAATGGACTTTACAGCACGTACCTCGGGAGAAAAATAACGAGGCCGATGCATTGGCTAATTTGGGATCGTCAGTCGACTCCGATGAATTCAACTCCGGAGTAGTGGTACAGTTGATGAACTCGGTGGTAGAAGAAGGTCACATCGAGATTAACTCGACAAGCTTAACTTGGGACTGGAGAAACAAATACATAGACTATCTGGAGAAAGGGAAATTTCCATCGAATCCCAAGGAGCCAAGGGCCCTACATGCTAAAGCTGCCAAGTTCTACTTGGTCGAGAGAAAATTGTACAGAAGATCCTTTTTCGGGCCACTAGCTAGGTGTCCTAGAGACCATGTTCAGTATTTACTTCAGCGTTTAATCACAATTTTATTGCTTATAACCTTAAGTATTTAGATTAATTCACTATTTAATAAGTTTTAGACTTTTGGAACTAAACTGAACTGGGCCTATTTAACTTTTAAGGATTTGAAACTTTTCTTCTAACATACAAGGCCAATCTACCTCTTAAATTCATTGGGCCTGACCCAATAAGCTTAAACCCAACAACTTCGAACTATTTTCTATAAAAATTTAAGGGATCTTAATACAAAAAGCAGGTCGAATTCACTATTTTTTTTATATACATAGAATATATACAGTTAAATATACCATAAATGGTGTTACATTCTAAATAATAGTTTAGTTAATTTTAGGTGTCCTAGTATACCTTATAAATATTAAGTGGCAAACTTTACTTTAACCCGATTAAACTTGGGTGCAACATTTATACACAAACAAGCATTGTGATAGAAAGAAAAATAAAGAGATAGAGATTAATCTGATTTCTAACATCTTAAAATAAAATCCGTATCTTAAGCACAAGCAAATATAAATTTGTTTCCATTCCCATTTTCCAAACAAGTTGACTAATTGCATTTTCAGCTTACTAATCCTTAAGACTTCAAATGTATGGAATGCATCAATATTTAGGTAAGTTGTTGTTACACCATCTATATATATCGCTCAGAACATTGCATACAGGTACACAAAGGAAAAAAAAAATACCATCATTAGCCATTGAAATATTGTATAGAAAATGGAGAAAGCATCAAGCATTTTGTTCTCTCTTATTATCTTGTTCAGTTTGTTAGGTCAGGTCTCTCTCCCCCTCTCTTCTTAAATATAGTAGTAGTAACATGAAGAAAAAATATGTCGATTAAATTTTTTTCTTCATGTTACAACAACAACAATAATAACAGACCCAATGAAGTTCTACAAGTGGTATCTATCATCTCCAGACCCCACTTGTGGAACTTCACTGGGTCTGTTGTTATTGCTGCAAGATAAAGGGAAAAAAATCGACATATTTAATTTCTGTATATTGTGAACGAATTTAATTATTGATCTGAATATTTCTTCTATTTTTACAGGTTCACCATCACATATGGCGTTGGGGAAATATCAGAGGTGTCAAACTGTAAAAGATTGTAATCCTGCAACTTGTAAATTTGGAATTTTGAATTGTATTGAAGGAGTTTGCCTGTGTGACATAGGGAAAACATACCTTGCAAATGATGGTATTATAAGGAAGAATGGTTCTTGCAAGCAAGACAGTGATTGTAAAAACAAATGTCCTCCTCAATGTATAGCAAATTGTTTGGCTGGAGTTTGCTTTTGTACTGGCTGTTAGAGCCAAAATTAAACATGGTAGAGCCTGTAGAGGTATAAGAAAACATTTTATCTTATTGTTTGAGCAACTCATATAATGGAAACAATTCTTCTTTCTTCTTCTTCTTCTTCTTCTTATTTTTATTTGCCCATCTATCCCCTCCCATTTGATATTACTTGTTGGCCTAAGCTAGCTTAAAATATTCTTAATATGGTATGTTATTGTCCTTTATGGACAAAAATTATATAATTTTTCTTAAAAGATCTCACACGATTAATAGTATTTATACACTTTATATGTAATTTTTTTAACTACTAATATGAAACTTTATACTAGAATTGATATACTGTTCCGCGATTTCATGCACATAAGGCAATTCACTAGCCTTATTTGACAAAATTTATTTTTTGATGACGACTAATTCATAATTGCAAATTTGATGTAAACACGCGCGCCCAACGTAACACCAATGCTTTATAATTAGTGCACATAATTGGAGGGTGGATTTAACAAAAGGGATTTTCTATCCATAACTAGCAACAACTTGGTAAATATTCATTAGAATTTGAGTTGTATGGAGTTAAATTAATAGAACAAAAAACTTAAGAATATTTACTTCCTCCATCCCAAAGTAAAGATGGGGTTCAGACTTTAAGTGAATTTAAATATCAATTTAGTAATTTTCTTTATATAACTTTTCGTATTTACAGAAAAAAAGTACCAATAAATTATATAATTTTTATTGTTTTAAAAAGTCATAGTCAAAGGTAAACAAATTCGTGTAATCTAGCAAGTCAATATTTTATGTAATCTAGCAAAGTAAAGCTTTATTAGATTTTGGAGAGGATAATAAATAACATATCTTGGTTGTGGATTCAAATTACAGTTTAAATAGAGTTTTTAAAATGAGGATAGTTTAGACATTTAGCATGAACCATCCCGTTTGCACATGTATATCTTCTCGATCTTTCTTTCACTTGTTGCAGTTTTAATTTAAAGTCAAAATCACAAACTCATCTTCTGCTAATTGCTTGTAATCTCTCAATTTTAGTCTCTATATTCGATCTCTAACTTTTGCAGTAAAGGGAATAAGGTATGTCTTTTACAGTATTTTTCTTATTGAATTCAAAGGCTCAAGGCATGAATGTGAAGTTTCCTAGATTAACTGTGATGATTCAGTGAATTACTATCTGATTTTCAAAATAAGACCTTCACATTACTTTTGGCAAGACTGCAAGAAATTGAAGGAGAATAAACCCGAGATAATTTTAATCCAATTTTTATTTTATTTTTTGAATCGCGAGAGGGGATTACAACGTAGGGAATCAAATCCTTACTAACAAGGTGAAAACTCAGGTAGCCAACCAACGTAGCTACTAGCAAGTGCAACTAACTATAACATTTGTGTGGTATTTCTATATTTTAAGCATGGTTCTTAAACTTTACTCTCTTATGCCTTAATTTTCTGCTACACTGTGCAACACTTGAATAGAGGAGCAGCTATTTGGTTATTATTTTGTGTGGCGAGGCAACGGCTATGTTTATTTCACGACATTCTGATGTTAAGTCAGAATAGAGTTTTTTTCTTCTGGATGTTCCTAAATATCAAAGATTTATTTATAATACCATTTGTACCATACTTTTTTTTTTAAAAAATTACATAGGAGGTTGGGGAAGCAGAAATGAGGAAGGGGATTACAAGGTGGGGAATCGAACCCTCCCCAACAAGGTAAATGTTCAGTAGTCAACCAAGTGTCACTCCCCCATTTTTACCATACTTACTACAACAACTACTACTACTTTTTTATAATGCGGTTTGCTAATCTGTCAATGTGTGTTGACAAAGAGTTATACTGCTTTAAATTCATTTGGTTGGTCAAAGTTGAGTCTTAATATGTTCCACAATTAGTAGATTGTTAAGTTTAAGGAGTAAGAAGTGGAAAAAAATTTAGGCTAATGAAACTCAGCACAAGGTGATTGTTTATGCAACTCAGAGGCAGATTCGAAATTTAGACTCTATGGGTTCAACCTTTAGGGATCGTTTGGTTGGAAACAAGTTACCCCGGTATTAATTATTTCGGGATTAGTTATTCTACCCACCCATAGGATAAGTAAACACTACAATCCCGGGATAACTAATCCCGAGATTAGTTATACCGCAATTTTATCCCAACCAAATATGTGATAAACATGAGATAAACTCATTTTAAATTTAATTCCGGGATTAATTATCCCTTATCCCTCACACCAAACGAGCCCTTAAGGTTCTTAGTATTGAACCTGTTGCACTTTTAAACTTATGTTTCCAGACTTACCATTTTTCTAATTTTAGTGAATTTTTACACATAAATTTATGCTCTGCGTCGAAAGTACTGCGTTCAGATGAACCCGATGTTGCTACTTTACATCCGGCCTGGTTATTGTAATGTATTGTTCTTCCTTGTACTATGCACAAAATGGTTCCGCATGAAAACAAATACAGAGAAGTCGTTGATGCATGTAGCTAAAAATTGTTCAGCTGATTAATGTATTTTCTTTTTCACTCTTAGTCAATATACAGTAATTGTGCCAAGTGTATGTGTTTTTCCTTCTTCAGTTCTAATTTAACTTTTCGGAGTTATGAGTTTAATGTAAGGAATAGGGGTTAAAATTCAGTTCTTTCTCAACTAAATGCTCTTCTTTTTTTCTTTTGAAAAATAATGATATACTTTTGCATGTGGCTATTCATGTGTGGCCACACATTCGGTAATTGAACACCTTTTGTATTCCCTATATTTGCATTTTATGTACTATGCATATATTTTGTAGTACAAATAAATAGATATCTTTATTTTGAGATTGGGATAATACTCTGTAAGAACTTGATGTGAATGACCAACATTTAGGACATACTTTGTAGGCTACAATGTTTACTGAAACCTATGGATAAATGCCAGAGAATCGAAGCATGCTCGGTTCTTGAACGCATTGGTTATCAGTTGCAAAATGTGGCCCTGAATTGACAATGTCTTCTTTTTTTTCATTTTTACTTTTGTCATCTTTATTTTCTTTTATTCTACTTCTGGAATTTCACGGATCCTTATATAGTTTCCTTTCATTTTGCAGCTTAAACTTGCTGATTAAAATCAATGTTATTTCAACAATCAGATCTTCTGTGCGGGTACTCATTCGAGGTAATTTCTTTGACCTTCTATGTGAAGTTCATATTGGTTTGAATGCTGGGTTCTGGTTTTCAATTAATTACCTTTTAATTACTGAATTTCTAACAAAGAAATGTGGTATAAGACTGTCATGGATAATGGTGAATTTGATCCATTGCTAGATTGTCCAAGCAATGTACAATATAGGGATGGATACCTAGCTACGAATCCTCTATATCAATCATCTGCAACGGTGTGTATTAACTTGTTGTAAACTAATGCCTCATTCTGGCATCTTATGCAGTGATTGAAAGGTTTAATGAGCTGAACTTGTTAGTTGTGAAGAGCGGCATAGATTTGTGTGCTGGACTGGTATACAGCAGTTTCCAAGCGTCTGTTCTTAGACAGACTGAATCCTCAGTAAAGTAATACTACATGTCATTCTTTATTATCCATTTTTTGCTACATATTCATAGTAGAACCAAGAGAATTGCTGTTGTTTTAGTACAAAATTCTTTATTTCTCATTGATAATAAGACTTGATCCATATGTAGAGCCAATAGCAGAGGAGCTCTGTAGTCACTGTCGACTTCCTCAATATTACTTGACTTCAACTTCAAGTTAAGCAACTGTTGGTTCGTCCTGTCTTTTAGTGATCTCTTCCGAGAGAGTAGAATATGGAGGGAGGAACAAAGATATATCACGAGAGGCAAAGATTACAGTTCTGCCTCTTACATTCCCTCAACAATCTCTTCCAGGTACACTAATAATCCCCTTTATGCTTTTTCTAGTTTTATTTAGGTCAATTAGTGTACATGTGATTACACTTTATTCAACTTGATTTTTTTTTTTTTTTTTTTTTG